TACCGTGGACAGCTGACTCTTAAAACTTTTTGATATTCTGCATACTCTGTGTGGTGATCAGTTCACAGCAGTGATATAAATTAATCTTTTCCAATAAGTTTAAGTTGATTATTTTACCTTTTATGGGCATTTTTACCTTTATAAAGTCATTTTTTCTAAAAGTGTGCATCATCTTTTCAGTCAAATTCTTAAATTGAATTAGTCAATTAATAATAAGTCATTTGGGCTGTTACCAAGCAAATGAAATCAGTATTGACTAAATTAATCTTTGCAATGCAGAGGAAACACAGAAGCTGCATTAAAAGTGGCATTTACACACTGTTTAATGTAGGACAAGAATGCATTTAACCTGCAGTTACAAATGCATTACTGTTTTGATATTTTAAACATAAAACGTTGAATACTAATATTTGAAATTATAAAAAAAAATGAAAATATACTTTAAATGTGAAAATAAAGCCACCAGTAGGTGGCAGCAAGTCACTGTTAATAAGTGAGTCATTGCGATTGAACCGAATCATTTAAACGGTTGATTCATTCAGGAACGAAACAGCGTCATGTTGCTCAGAGACCTAAATTAATCTTTGCAATGCAGAGGAAACACAGAAGCTGCATTAAAAGTGGCATTTACACACTGTTTAATGTAGGACAAGAATGCATTTAACCTGCAGTTACAAATGCATTACTGTTTTGATATTTTAAACATAAAACGTTGAATACTAATATTTGAAGTTATTAAAAAAATGAAAAGATACTTTAAAATTTAAATTAAAACTGCCAGTAGGTGGCAGCAAGTCACTGTTAATAAGTTAGTCATTGCGATTGAACCGAATCATTTAAACGGTTGATTCATTCAGGAACGAAACAGCGTCATGTTGCTCAGAGACGCAAATTGGAATTATATTTGTTGGCGAAATGTGTTGGAGAAAAAACACACCAAGACAAACACAACTGTAAAGAGAGGGAGGCTCTCTGTCTGTCTGTGATGCGCATGTGCCGATCAATGTGCTCTACACTGCTGTGCGTCTGCGCAGAGACGCGGAGGGGAGAAAGGCATTGGAAGTCACAATAGTCTCAATATTTCTCGACCCAACCTGATATTTTGATTTTTTATATGTTTGAAAGGGAAAGCTGTGTGCAAACAGAAACACACATGGACACATATATACACATATTCATTTATTTATTTATTTTAAAAAAAAAACTCCCCAGATAAAAGGGCATGTTTTCTTGAGGAAGAAAAAGGGCAGGTGCTCAAGCCCCCTTTGATGTATATGTGCACGTGCTTGCATGTGTACGTTCCTAAGGTGCTCTACACCCCGGTTAGAGCCCAGGTTATTACTCTCTCTGTGCTTCCTCCTTCTGAGGAGGACCAGGAGTTTAACTTTCTCTGCCCGGTTAGGGCGCTGAAAATTTACATCGAGCGTTCCGCCCCGTTCAGGCGGTCGGAACAACTTTTGTATGTTTTGTGGCCGCACCAAAGGGTCCCCGGTCACAAAGCAGAGGATTTCTCGATGGTTAGTTGACACTATCGCGCTAGCATACCAGGGGTGTGAAGTAACGAATTACAAATACTCACGTTACAGTAATTAAATAGTTTTTTTTATCAGTAATTGTACTTTTTTGAGTAGTTTAAAAATTGTGTACTTTTACTTGAGTACATTTTAAGTGATGTATCGGTACTTTCACTCCACTATTTTCCTCCGTTTGTGGTCGTTACATGCTTATTTTAATTTTATTTTTATCCATCAACGTGACTGGATAGAGAGTAATAGGTCTCGTGACTTTCGTCAAATCAAATTGTGCAGAGAAAACTTTAACCGCCAACTGTTTATCATGGCTGCTGGAAGCGCATTCTTACGTACAGTGTTAACTCCCACAAGTGCCACGTTCGGTAAATTCCCACTCATTTTTTTGAGACGCGCTATCTGCACTGCCTCGTCTCTCTCTCTCGCGTGCATTCTGCAGCAGTCACTTGGATAAGTCGTTGTTGCTTTTCGAACTTGTTGACTTTTGATGAGTTTGAGCGCGTGATGCACGCTGTGAAAAAGTTGAGGACCAAATCTGCACCTAAATGATGACCCGTGGCGTTAATATTTTGCATCTGTGCCAGCGCCATAAACCTGCAGCTCATTAATAAACTTTTTTTTTTATTATTTTTTTTTATCCATTTTATACAATCCGCCTTCATTTAGTAAGTGCACTCACGCATAAACAATTTTCAAGTTCAACACTTTTTGTTCCATTCAGTTGTGGATGCTGCTGATTCACCGAGACCGCCGC